CATTATCCTCTCTCTCTCTCTCTCTCTCTCTCTCTCTCTCTCTCTCTTTCTCTCTCTCTCTCTCTCTCGCTCTCTCTCTCATCTTGATTAATCCAGCCAGCCAGCCAGCCAGTCAGCCGTCCGTCCGTCCGCCCGCACGCACGCACGCACGCACACACACATACATACATCCCTATCTTTTAATCCCTATATATATCCCTCTTCCGTTCTTTCCTCCTCTCTTTCTATCTGACATTTTGTCGCTCACAACATGAGCAATTTCAGTTAACGATGCTTTCTGCGAAACCATATAATAAATATATAATATATAACACAAACATGATCTCAGTGGTCTGACTCTGTCATGCACTATTTAACGAAGTTCATTATTCACGTGTCGGAAAATTTAAACATAAACCTTATTATAGACTCTCCGTCGCTCGCAAATATTCTCTCGCGTATGACGTCGGAACGCGTGCCATACCCATAACCAACATCGCCTATAAATTTTCTAGCGTGAAGCAGAGGAATATGGTAAGAGATTGTTATTCGATACAAGGTTATTCCACTACATGATCTATAGCGTGGCAGATGTAAGTCACCGCCGCCCGCCACCAACATAAAGCCGATAAGTGGTCGAATAGCGGCTGTTAGAACGATATAACAGCTGGCATCACAGTAAACTACACTAACAGCGCGCGCAGTCTCTACACGGATGTATACTGCAGCTAACTCTGAGCCTGCATATATATCAAGAGTGCATAATAGAGAAGAGTATGACACGGTTTTAACAGCGTTTTGCATAGTTTTGAACTTGTAAATATTCTATCAATATGTGAATAAATATATTCAAACTTTACCTTGTTTTCGTCTATGATTCTCCCTTAATCATATGACACCACCAATTTACCTGAAAATCGTATGTGTTCTTCAAAAAAGTTATTTGAATACGACACGGTTTCGTACAGTTTTCACGCATGTATGCATGTCACAGACCAAACTTTGTTATGGGATTAGTGTTCTATTGTCTATGACGGTACGCTGGGGGCCGTAAGAGAATCAGCTGCTAGCTAGCTGGCCGTGAGGACATTTATTTTTAGCACGCTGGAAACGCTGCACGCTGAATACAATTCGATGCCTAATATCCCATACGGCCCCCAAAGTTCCGTCATAGACAATCGAAACCGTGACGTATTCAAATAACTTTTTTGAAGAACACATACGATTTTCAGGTAAATTGGTGGTGTCATATGATTAAGGGAGAATCATAGACGAAAACAAGGTAAAGTTTGAATATATTTATTCACATATTGATAGAATATTTACAAGTTCAAAACTATGCAAAACGCTGTTAAAACCGTGACATACTCTTCTCTATTATGCACTCTTGATATATATATATATA